TCAAAAAAAAGGAAAATATAGCAAGTTAATGGAAAGTACACATTAAATATGTGGGAGCAGATGGCTATAGTAAAGGGAGAAAAAGAGGTGAAAGAACCCAAACTTTCTACCTAAAGAGTATGAATAATCAAACCATATCAATTCATTTGCATGAATGAGGCACAACACAACTGAAAAAACAAAAACCAAACAAATGGACAAAAGTGTGATATAACCATACCAAGTCCTTAGAAAACAAAAGAAAATAATTAAGTTGAGCAATATTTTTTGACATGGAAAGATCTCCAAGAAATATTAAGTGAAAAAGCAAATCAAAATGCCACACATACATTATAGCGTGTATGTAAAACAAAATTACAATATAAATCTCTCTGCCTCTCTGTCTCTGTCTCCGTTTCTGTCTCTCTCTCTCTCTGTCTCTATCTACACACACATACACACACATTTCTCTGTGCAATGGATAAAGGAAGTTTTGGAAAAGGTAACTGTGGGAAAATTACAAATAGTGATATAGGAAATTTTCTTACATTATTCATAAAAAGTACACAGTAAAAATAAAGGCAGATAGAAATTCTAGGAAAAACAAAAAGCAGTAAGAAGAGACATGTGATCTGAATGATTACTTCTTCTGCAATAAATGGTAATTATACAGTCACCAACAAAGAGCAACCTAAAAGGAAATAAAAACTGTTTTTAAAAAGGGCTGGGGGCGTGGTTCCAATGGCAGAGCATTTGCCTAGCAAGTGTGAAGCACTGAGTTCAAACCCAGTACAGCCAAAAAAGAAAAAGAAACCAGACAAAAGACACAAAGAGATGTTTTAACTAAAGAGGACATAAGGATGACAAATGAGCACATGAAAAGATGTGTGACCTCGGTGTCCACTCGGCAAATGCAAACTAAAACCACACTGAGATGGCACTCCATACCATCTACATACCATAGACAATGTCTAATGCTGCCAAGATTTGCAATACGTAGATTTCTCATACACTGTTGATAGGAATGCCTTTTGGAAAATAGTTTGGCAGTTTCTAATAAAACTAAACATATGCTAAAACTTAGCCATTGCACTCCTGGGTGTCTATTCACAAAAATGAAAACTAATGTACATACCAAGATCTGTACCCAAATGTTTGTATCTTTATCTGTAATAGTCCCAATCTGAAGGCAACCAAAATGTCCTCCACCAGACCAATGAGTAAACAAACTGTGGTACATCCAAGCTCTAAAATGCCCATCAGTAATAAGGAGTGGACCAGTGCAACAACTTGGATGTATCTCAAAGACATTATCCTAAAAGGGAAAAAAAACCCAATCTCAAAAAGTCACATACTGGATGATTCGATTTATGTAACATTCTCAGAATAACAAAATGATAGAGATGGAGAAGACATTTGTGGTTGCCAGGGGTTAGGATGGTGAGGGAGAAAAGTGGGTGTGATGAGGCAGCATAGCAGGAGGGAGGTATTTGTGGTGATGGAATAGTTCTTTATCTTGATTGCAGATCTACATAAATGCAAACCTTGATTACATTAAACCTAGGCTTGTGATAAAATAGCCTAAGCGCACATTGTTCAAATGTCAATTTTCTAGGTTGGATATTGTACTATACATATATAAAATACAATCATTAGGAAAAACCAGGTGAAGGACACACAGGACCTTTTTGTATTATTTTTGCAACTTCCTATAAATCAGTATTTCAAAATAAAAAGTTTTCTAAAAAGACACCAAAGTAAAAACAGAGCTCTTAAAAATTAAGACAATGGGCCAGGCATGGTAATCCTAGTTACTTGGCAGTAGGAAATTGGAGGATCTCAATTCAAGGCCAACCTGGGCAAAGTTTGCAAGACCCCACATCAACCAAAGGCTGGGCATTCCTGTCATCCCAGCTATGTAGGGAAGCACAAATAGAACAGTGGTCCAGGCCAGCCCAGGCATTAAAAAAGACCCTATCTCAAAAATAACCAACATGAAACAAGTTGGGGCATAGGTCAAGGGGCAAAGCATCTGCCTAGCAAGTGAGAAGCCCTAAGCTCAAACCCTATTTCCAAAAAAAAATTATGATGGAAGAAATTAAAAACAACAGAAGAATTAGAAAATGAAGGTAAATCTCCCAAAGACAGCAAGAAGACAATAAGGAAAACAGGTGATAAAAGTGAAGCAAGAGAGCCAGTTGTAAATGTATAAAATTAGAACAATGAACTGAAAGGGCTGAGGGTATGGGTCAAGTGGTAGAGTGTTTACCTAGCAAGTGCAAAGCCCTGAGTTCAAACTGCAAAATAATAATGATAATAATAATGAGTTCAATAAAGAAGATGGAGAAAATGGGAGAGAGAAGTCAGCAACAAAATTACTCAAGAAAATTTTACAGCTGGGCGCTGGTAGCTCACACCTATAATCCTAGCTACTCGGGAGGAAGAGATCAGGAGGATCGTGGTTCAAAGCCAGCCTGGGCAAACAGTTTTTAAGACCCTATCTCGAAAAAGCTCATCACAAAAAACGGCTAGGGTACCACAAAAAGAGAGAAAATTTTACAGACTAGAAAGATACGACTTTCTGGTATCCACCAAAATCACAGCAAGGAATATCTTTGTGAAATGTGTAACAAAAAGGACATTCTACAAGCTTCCTTGATTCTACAAGTCACAACCAAACAGGTTGGCTTTGGACACATGGCTTTGCACTTCTTCACAGAAACTGTGTCTACTAGGAGACCACAAAACAATGTCTTCAAGATGCAAATGATTTATAACCGGAATTCCCTACTCAGCCAAACTCTCAGGCCAAAATAAACATGAAGATACAGTAACTTTTTAGATGTAACTAATATTTTAGACAATTTTTTAAAACAAACTTCTTATACAGTCTTTTTCAAGAGTTACTGGAAGTTGTGCTCTATAAGAGGCAACTGAGCATCTCTGTCTAGGACACAATGTATAACCACACAAGGACAGCACAGTTCCTCTTTTCATATACTGCTAAAACTATTCTTTTTCTCCCATGTTCTTGATCTCACTAATGAGCAACAGTGAGAGGTCCAAGCTGGGATACTAAGTCGTCCATATACTCATCTCTCAAAGCTAATCATGGAGTCTTAATGATTTTAAATCCTAAATATTTCTTCTCAGTTCTGTCTCTAGTTTCACGGCCTCAGTTTAGTGTATCAACATAGTCACCTAATCAACCTCCCAATCTCTAGTCCTGTCTTCCTCAAATCTATCCTCCATGATGTGGTTTCAGCTGTGCCTAAAATGCAAATCTGGCAATGTCACTGCTCCACTAGGACTCTTCAAAAGCCTCCTGAATTCTATCAGGTGTGGTGGTGCACACCTGTAGCTACAGACACTATGAAGGTGCTGAAGGCAGACGGACCTTGAGTTGAAGACCAGCCTAGGCAAAGCTAGCAAGAACCTATCTCAAAAAACTCAAAAGAGCAAAAGGTTTGGGGGCCTGGCTCAAGTGGTAGAGCCCTGGGTTCAACAACCAACACTACAAAAAACAAAACAAAAAAACCCTTGAATTCTGACGAGCAGATAATAAATATCTACACCTACCTCCACCATGACAGAATTTTTAAATTAAAATCATTGTGGGTAAACCATAATTGTATTTATTTATAAGGTGATACAAAATGTGGAATGATTAAATCAAGCTAATTAAAATTTTATTGCTCTTTTTTTTTGTGGTGAGGCATTGAAATTTACTCAGTTATTCTGAAATATACCATAGATTAACTGTAGTTACAACAGATCTCAAAAATGTAGTCCTCTGTAGGCTGGGCATCGTGGTTCGTCTCTGTAATCCCAGCTACTCAAGGCAAAGGTGGGAGGATCACCATCTAAGGACTGTCCAGGCAAAAAGCATGGGACCCTATCTGAAAAATAACTAATGCAAAAAGGGCTGGAGGTTGGCTCAACTGGTCAAGTGCTTGCCCTAAGTGTGAGGCCCTGGGCTCAAATCCCTATATAGGTTCCCACACCCCTCCACCCCCCCAAAAAAACCCAAAGTAGCCTACCTGTGTAGCTGAAATTTTGTACCCTTTAGCCAACAAGTCCCGTTTCCTCCCTCACCCCAGCTCCTACATTCTACTCCACGAGCTGGACGGTTTTTCGATTCCACATGTGAGACAAGGCAGGGTTTAGACATTACTCATTCATCATGGCGCTCTCCTGCACCGCTAGACTCAGTGGTATGACTTTCTCAACACTAGAGACGTGAAGCCACTGCTGGTGTTTGATACAAAGGATAAGAACCTGGCAAGGCACAGAAGGACCCTCCCAACTCTACTCTTGCCTCTGTGCACACTCCTCCAGGGCTGTTGAGGCTTCACACAACTTGTCTCTCCACCTTGTCTTGACACGTGCAAGACCCTCCTTCTCCCATTCCCTGAGTTGAGTCCTCTTTTCTTTCCAACACCCTTGCTCCCTAACTTCGCTGTATTCAAATCCTCTTCACAAGTCAAGGGTAGGAGTTCAATGATAATACTGGTTGACATTAAATTGCTACAAATGCAGCAGGACAGCAGGGGTTAAACAGATGGAGAAGGCAAGGGGGTCCTACGGAAATGGGGTGACACTAATGCCCCGATCTGTGTCCTTTTCCAATGGCTTGGTCTGCTCGTTCCTGCTCCCTCCGCCCCCCCACCAGCTGAAATGCTGGCTCCCTTCTGTCTCCTTCCATTGATATTCAGAGCTAGTTTGTTTTCCTGGTTTTGCAACTGTCATCCCTAGACTGTAAGTCTAAGGACTGTGTCTTTATGTACTTCGTTCCTGCCAACGACAAGACTGGTGGCCAGTCGGTCCTGGGGGCAAGACGCTGGCTGTGGCACCGAGCCCCGGCCTGCCCCGCCCCCGGCCCTGCGCTCAGACCCCTCCTCACGCCGGCCGCTTCCCGCCTTCCGAACGGCGGAAGTCGCTGGCTGCTTGTCTCTGCCCACGTGGCGCCTTTTCCGGTGCGCCCGCCCCCTCCGGCTCTCGGGTCCGGACCTGGCCCTCACCTCAGGATTCCCAATGTGCCTCCGGACAGACATATTTGCTCCAACCGATCACGCTCGGGGTGCTAGCCTCACGGCTTGCCTCTAACCCTAGCTTCCTACCCACCACCACCTAGCTCGGCCGCTTCTCTATAACCTTGTCTCCGATTGGCTGGCCTTCTCCGGCCAGCCAATAGAGATCCCGTTTACTATCCAGCGCAGGGTCGAGGGCGAGCGGGATGCCGCTCAATGGTTGCCAAGGGCAACGCCGGACGCCAGGTAGCACTGCCTTTAGTGCTCTGGGCTCTGGCGGCGGGCTCCAGCCTTAGCGCGGGAAGAGGGGGTGGGGGTGGGGGGACCAGGAAAAGGGAAGACTGGCGCATGCGCAGAGCACAGAGTGGGGGAAGGGGCTGTAGAGTGGGCTCAACATAGGCGTTTTAGTGGAAGAGGGGGCACAAATACCACACCGGTCTCTCCTCCCCCCAGCTTCTTAAGGCCATTCGAAGGAAACACCTGAGGTACTTCTTCCACAATAAAGGACACAATATGAGCCAGGGTTGTTCATCAGGAATGAGAGTATAAAGTTTGTTAGTTTCGGGTTATTATGCAAATTATGCAAAACATCATGTGTAAATATAGTAATTATTGTTGCTCTAAAAGCTTTTAGTCTAGCTAAACAACGGCAGCCTTAATTGCAAAGCACTCACGCACACCATTCAGTGGTTCATCATTCATTTAACAAGTATTTAATAAGCACCTTATGAGAAAAGCTGCAGTAGGTTTTGTGGAGGATGGGAAGATGACTAAAACCCAGTCCCGTCGTCATGGAAACCATTGTGACTCCTGCCACCAGCCACCACCTGTTCTCATTCCAGATCTGAAAATTAAGTCCTAGCACCTTTACAAAACAATTACGCACACAGTTTGACTTGGCTCCTAAATGTCCCACCAAATCCATCAAATCATTTCCTTTTACAGGGAAGGAACAACACAGTAACCCTTTGTCCTTTGCTCCAAGTAGTTTTTCCAGCAGGGGAGAAAGGCTACCCTGGGCTGTTCAAAGGCACTAGCATTGTGAATAATAGCATCCATATGAGCTACAGATGATCCGTTCAGCAACATGGTCTCCCAAGCCCTAGTGCTTCAGCAACCCACTCAGACCCATGCGTTGGATGTGTTCTCATGCAGAGGTGCTGGACCTCTGAACTATGCTCACAGCTGTCTCTTACACTTGTTTCCTCTTTAACACCAAGCTTTATCCTAACTTCTCTTGCCCTTTAACCCCTCTAAAAGTCCTCGTCCCTCATCCTTCCACTACAGTAAGGAAGGGTTTGGGGCTGAAGAAAGTTGGGAGGGGGGCAATGAGGAGGATACTCATCTGTAAGCTCTAGCATAGCAAGCAGAAGTTTCTAGACACACTACTACTTCAAATGTATGCTTACCTGATATATGCAGGGAATCAGGGTGACCATAGAGATTATGGGTAGAATAAACAGGAGAAAGGAGAGAGATAATGAAGAACTAAACTACAAGGTGGGAGGAAAGGAAAGGCTTGAAAATTTTGGTAGGTGAATTAATAGTTATATACACAAGAAGAGATCAGGGAGCTCAAGGAGTAGGAAAGCATCAAGAATGGCTATCAATTTTCTAACTTGGACAGCTGAGTAGATGGGTGACGATGCATTCATCAAGCTAAAGGAAAATGTTCAAGAAGCCAAAGAACAGAAAGCGTGAGACCCTACATCTGACTTCCATTCCTCACTGTTTTGCTTCACGTCTTTGTATGCTCGTTTCTCTTTTGTTCCAGAGGGTATGGAAATATTAGGTTTACTGACTTTATCAGTCATTGTGATTGTTGAATTTGGGCTGCATAGGAAGCAGATGGAGAGATAATGGAAATGTGGGTTCTTGAATCTGAGGCTGTGTATCTGGGGGTGGAGCAATTTAAATACATGCCCCCCCATTCTGATGTTGGAGGGTCCAAGGGCCACACTTTGCTCCAGAAAAGCCACCCATTTCCTTCACATTGTGCCTCAATGGCATCTTTGAAAAGCTTAAAGCTATAAAACAAAAGGCTTTTAACATCATGATTTCTTTTGGATCCTGCTGTGTTAAAACTGGATCAAAATTAAAGCCAGGTGTTTGTCTTCAATACGAGAAATAGGTAAATGGTGCAAAATGAGGATCCACAGGAGGAAAGCATTCAATAAATATATGAAGTGTCTAATGAAGAAGTGCAAAACAAAATGCTAAATTCCATTTGTCAGAAGGCATTTTTCCCTCTTAACAATAATGCTCAGTGGCGAGTGACCCAGACACAAGCCCTCTTAGTGTGAATGAAAAGAAATGTGACCATTTTGAAGAGCAATTGAAGAGGGGGTGCTGAGGAGTCTCTAAGTCTTCAGATTTTAAGAATTTCTCCTAAGGAAATAATCAGAGCACTGAGTAAGAACTATCCACATAGACATTTACTGGAGTCTTTCTTAAAATGATGAAATACTGAAACAACCAAATTGTCCACCAAGTAAAAACTGATTAAAATACATGATGGGGTGTCTATGAAAGGTAATCTTTTAAAACCCTTAGAAAGTATGTTTAAGGAATAATTAAGGCAATAGAGAGCTGTTTCCGATATAGTAATTGAAAAGAGCATAAAACAACTCTTTGTTTAATATGATCCTGATTTGCATGGAAAAAAATACGGGTATCCACAAAAAAATTGAGAAAAAAAATTAATGCAAACCATCTCTGGATTATAGAATCTGGATATTTGTTTTATTCTTTATACCTTTTATTCAGTTCACAAATTTTCTTCAGTGACTATGAATTCATTCCCCACTTTAAAAACCATATTCTCCCTCTAAGAAACAAAAACCTTGATGCTGACTGACTTCAGCCTGAAAGCTGTCTATGGCTTTTGTCTGGGCTGATTTAGACCAGAACTGAATTCTGGAGTAATTCCTCCATGTGAAGTGCGTGGTTCTTGGCAGTAAAAGACTCTCGAGGCACTCGAGTGAGATCCTTGCAATCAGAGTCGTGATTGCTAAGAGGTTCAAGCTTTGTTTAGAAGAGAAGAAGTTCTGATTCTTTTCTGTAAAAGTTCCTACTTCCACTGATTAATCTTATTTTTCCTGAAGTTAGAAGTGCTCTTGTGAACTTCCATTTGTTTGACGTCTGCTTTTTAACCCGTATGGCTTCTAAAAAGCTTTTAGTCTGCAGAGTTAGGGGGGTAGGGGGAGCCCCAGGTAAGTCAGTATAGCTGATGGAAGAGCTAGTAGTTTGTGTTTTAGGTACTCCTGTGCCTGCTCCCCAGAACTAAATGGGGATTTTGGTACCAAGCAGGCTGGTACTTTCCCATGCCTCAACCCCGCTGAACCCTCCTTCATCCTGAGTGCCTCTGCTGATTCAGCCCACAGCCTACATCCAATTAGCCCTTGTGTCCCCCCCCCCCCGCCGGCCGTGGGTGTTAAGCCTGGTTTCCTGATTAAAGCCCAGCACCTTCCTCTCCCCTCGGACCTGTCTCCTGATGTTACTCCTTGGATACAGTCCTTGGCTTCTTTCCTTGGCTTCATCAACCCTCATTTCCCAAATGACATGCCTTCCAGATGTTTAAGGAAACAATTTGCTCAATCCAGTCCAGTCCTAGGCTCCTTTCCTGGGCCCCCAGAAATGGAACTGCAGCTCAAGCAGTGAACCCCTACCTGTGATGAAGTCCCTGCAGGCGTGGTGACAATTTTTTTTTTTTTTTAATCATTCTCCTGGTGGTAGGATACATCCAAAGGAGGAGCACATCTGCCTCTGGCTCAGGCTAGCATTGAAGAGCTTAGTCCGGGCTGAAGACCTCAACCATGCCTGCAGCCCCTCACCTGGGGTCATGCCACCTCACAGACTACACTACTTTCTGGTGAAACAAAGAAATGGACATAACTGATGTCCTGGTTGCTTTTCTGATGGGGTCGGCATATGCAGCCCTGCAGCCACCTCCTGGAGGTATCTTAGCCCGTGTTCTGTAATTTACAAAGAATAGAGGTTTATTTATACCATGGTGCTGGCATATGTTTGGCACCTGGCAAGGACCCTCTTGCTACATCCTAATATGGCAGAGGGCATCACAAGAAGAGCCTGCTTGCCAGAGAGAGTTCAATTTTATAACAAAGTCACTTTCGAGATAACCCATTCCCCCATTAACCCATCCATCCATGTGTGGATTAATTCACTCATGAGTGTAGAGTTCTTATGACCCCATCACCTTCCAAAGGTCCCACCTCTAAGTATTGTTAACATATGAATTTGGGGATTAAGTTTCCAACACATGAAATTCAAACCATAACAGTGAAACACATGGAACACATAGCCATGTGATAGAAGGGATACATGCCATCCCCTCCCAGAAGCTCCAAGACCTCCTACCTATGATGGAAGCCAGGGCATGTGGTTGTCACATGTCACGTTCTGGCCTTGGGCTTGAGGTTTGCCTAGGACATGTTCTTCCACAGCCCAGTTCTAACAGGGCTCTGAGGAGCTTACCTGAGTCACAATGGAGGAAAAGTCAAGGTTGGGAAGTGCTTGTGACACTCTGGGCACAAGGGACAGCCTATGCCCCATGAAAAGATCAGTAAGTGTGAACCAAGTATGTCAGATGGTCACATTTCTCAAAATAATCTAGAAACCTAGGATTTCATGTGAAATCTTCCGGCCAGTAACTTGCAAGCCCTGTGCTAAATTCTGCATGTATCATTCCTGATCTTCGTGATTTTTAAAAAATCAAGATCACACCCATGTTAAAAAAAAAAAAAAGCAAAAACCACATTTACAGGAATTCTGCTTCCATTTAGGATACAAAAGGCAGCAAGGGACCATCCTGCCCATCCTAACAATAAGAATAAGAAAGAATCTACAAAACCATGTTTCCTTGAATACTTCAGAGAGCTGAGGTCACAAAACAGTCACATAGTCTAACTCCAAAAGGTGACAAGCACCACTGAGGAGAGAAGGGACACAAAACTTTCACATTTGGCAGAGCTCTGGATGAAAAGATGGCAGCCAGGGAAGTGGGGGAAAAAGAACTCAGCTAAAATGTTCTCTAATGCCTAAGGTCTGAACATGGGTTCTGAGAAGCTATACCGA